TATATAAAAATAATAAATTATAATAAATTAGACCAAAATAAAATCGATGAGTTTGGGCTTTTATGGCGATTTGATCGCGCACTCTGTAAAAGAAAAGGGTGCACTGTATTTATAACACAGGACAAAACGACCATCACAGCGAAATGGACACAACACTGTTCCAGTCAATCAGCAACCGGGGGCAATCATGCTAATGCACACGACAGGGGAAAGGTGGAGAGGCTATGTGGTGAACTACATACATTATCAAGAAGGAAAAGTGGCTGAGAAACAGCCAAAGAGAAGAAGATCTGAAGAACAAAGATTGAGAAAGACGTTCTTAGATCAGGCAATAGCGTTTCAGCAGTGGAGAAACTTCCAAGAGTTGACGTTAAGGCGTTGCAGCTCTGGAGAGACCTTCCTAAGTCGATGAGGCTGAAGTTAGCTTCCTTTTTTTTTTGCATTTTCTCATTCCACCTTAAATCATGCAGCAGTTCCATTCTGGCATGTGAGGCTCCTGAATGTAACTGCTGTACCATTTAAGGTGGAATGGGAAAATTCAAACAAGAAGCTGAGGCACCTGAACATAACCTAACTGCTGCACCATTTAAGGTGGAACAGAAAAAAAATTTGAACAAGAAGCTGGGGAAAAAGAGGCTGACTTCTGCTTCATTGAGAATTGAAAGGTATGAAAAGGGATGAGGAGGTCGCTCCTGCTTAACCGGTGGGTTACATGAACTTATTTTTACTGTTTCACAGAACCAATAGATCAATATTGTTTTGTCCCATTTACTAATCCTTCTGATAGCAAGTGGAGTGTAGGGGAGGAGTGTATTTGTTTTGCTGTTGAGTTCAAAGGTTTACCGCACCTTTGATTTGCAGCAAAAGACAAAGTTATTTAACTGTAGGATCTATTTTGTACATGTGTATTGTTTGCTCACATGACCAACATTGTTCTAATTAGAAAGCAATCATTATTTAGTCTCAGTGGGGTTTAAACTAAGTTTTTCTGTATGCACTGGACAGGCAACAGGTATACTGTCCAAAAAAATGCACCCTTCACCCTGTACTCACAGCACCTCACAGGAGAAAAGCTGATATTCTTCAATGTGACGACTCAATTTCTGTCTGTCACTGTCTCAAACTTGTACCCCTTGTTCTCTTCACAATGGGATTCAAATCCTACTTTGTGCCATCGCAATTGATCAAGCCAAAATTAGATGTCTAGGTGCTTGTTCTGCCGGTGCTGCTCAATATTATCGTATCGACTGCGGTTGGGCTCTCGACAAGAGAGATAACAAGTTCCACATGATTGCATAAAACCCACAACAGCTTCCATCAAAAGCTCCGCTGCATTTCCATTTCCTCTGAGCCTCCAAGAGAGGCTTTTGTGGCGTGATGTGCTCGTCTCCCCTCCTCTCCAGTAACGAAGTTAGACATTTTAAAAACCTTTTCAAGGGAAATGCAGATTTTCCTTCCTCTTTTGAAGTCATCTTAAGCCCAAGGAACTGAGCCGAGAAGTATTTACTCACACAACAAAGCGTCTAATTCTGAAGGGGACGTGGAGTTTTCCTCCAGTGTTCTTGTCTTCTCATGTCTGTTCATTAGCAGTCGGAGTCGATGAAGTCTAAAGTCTGCTTCTTTATTTTTGCACTGGAGCTAAGAAGGGAATGTAGCTAACAAGTATATCGCTGTTGTCGGAAGGAAACCTCGTATCTCCAAAATGGTAACTTTACAGGAGACAGAAAAAACATGCTTTACTTTTAATGTAAGTCAATGGAACCAGAGTTTTTTTCCAAGTAATTTTGGGTCATTTATTTTAGGCCATTCATGATGAAATTTAGAAATAATGTAAAGAACAACAGGCACTTTCAAATTATGTCAAACTGAAAAATGACAAAAATGGAGATACAAGGTTTTCTTCTGACAGCAACGATATTCAATATAAAATCGTGTCTTTGTTTTGGGTTCCTGCCCTTTATGGCTTGGCCTTGTCTCATGTCTTGCACCAGTGTCTTGTCTGTTGCCATGTCCTCTCACTGACCCCAGTTGTTCCTTGTTTGTTATCCCTTATGTTCTCTCACTGAGCACTTTATAAAGTACACCTCCTTGTTTCCACACTCATTGTCCATTTTATCAGCTCCACTAACCATATATGAGCACTTTATAGTTCTACAATTACAGACTGTAGTCCATCTATTTCTCTGCATACTTTGTTAGCCCCCTTTTACCCTGTCCTTTAATGGCCAGGACCCCCACAGGACTACAGCTATTATTTGGGTGGTGGATCATTCTCAGCACTGCAAAGTGGTGGCGTGTTAGTGTGTGTTTTTAAACACTGTGTCCATTGTGTCCTCTCGCTGTCCCACTCTATTAGACACTCCTACCTTGTTGGTCCACCTTGAAGATGTAAAGTCAGAGACAGTAGCTCATCTTTGTGTTGGTCATCCTCTAGTCCTTCATGAGTGGTCACAGGACGCTGTCCACAGGACTCTGCTGGCTGGATGTTTTTGGTTGGTGGATGACACTGCAGTGCTGAGAATGATTCACCACCCAAATTATACCTGATCTTTGGTGTTGCTGTGGGGGTCCTGACGACTGGTAAATCAGGTAAAGGTGAGATACGAAAGTATGTAAACAAGCAAATGGACTGCAGTCTATAACTGTTGAGCTACAAAGTGCTCCTGTATGGTAAGTGGAGCTGATAAAATGAACAATGAATGTAAATACAAGGTAGGTGTACCTAATAAAATGCCCAGTGAGTGTTTATACCCCATTTCTTGTTGTTTGCTTGGCTTTGTAATTCTTGGGTGGTTCTGTTCCTCTAGTTTCATGTTACCCTTTGGATTGTTGTTTTATTCTGTTCTCTTAAATTCCCAGTTTAGTTCGTTATTCTGTTATGCTAGTTTATTTTTCTTAGTCTAGTTGTTTGTTCATTTTGTCTTGTGGATTCCTGAGTTGTCGTTGTGGAATATATTAAAACAATGAACACGCATGTGCATTCTGCCTCGCCTCCTCCTTCATTACACTGATCAGGACTATGTGAGGATGTTTCAGAGACAGTGGTGTAGCTACAGCTATGTAAACAACATAGCAGTAAATGGAAAGCTTTCTTTATGTTACAGTTGCAGATGGAATCAGATGCTTGAAGTCAAGGGCAGTTTTAATAACAAAGGGGCGATCAGAAAACACTGTCGTAAACCAGAGAATAAGTTAAAAAACCAGAGATTGAAAACAGAGCAAAAGGACAAGGCAAAAATTAGAGTCAAAAATGGAAAACAGGTCATATACAAAAAGGCACTTACTAACATAAGAAAAGGCTCTTTACGCACAGCAGAAGTTGACGATACCTCACAAAGTAACTAAGCTAAAGCCCGGGCTTATATACAAGACTAACAAACACATGAAACAAGGAACAGGTGTGGGTGATTAGAAGTCTGGAGAGGCAGAACGGGGATGGGTGCATTTAGTTAAGTCCTGAGTCATGTGAGGGAGCGAGGGGTTCTGGGAAATGCAGTCCGAAGCGGCAGAGTTGGCTGTAGTTCCAGCCAAGCCGGAGAGAGGCGTGACACTTTTACTTGTTAAGCTTTTATTTTCTGGCAGAAGTCGAACGTGAAATATCACATTCAAAGTTCTGACAGCCTGCAAGTTAAAGCCTACTGTGCCACCATCGCTTAGACAATCTCTCTCAGCTTGCTCTATATTTTGTGAGTGTTTTTGAGTCGTGAGAAAGATTTGAAAATGCTGCTGGTGTGGATTAAGATTTGTCTTTTTCAGGTACAGTAGCCTCGTAGCTCCATTGCAGAATGAAAGAAGCAAATGCACCTTCACTGACTGACTGCTCATGGTGAAATGGCTGATCTACAACTTTCAGCAAAATTCAGTGAAATATCTACAACATATGACCAGTGATCCATAGTAAAAGTGTCACGCCAAAGAGCACCTTGGAAACCAATATGAAAAAATAGGTATATTCCAAAAATATTTAGCAAATATGCATTTGCTTCTTTCATTCTGCAATGGAGCTACGAGGCTACTGTACCTGAAAAAGACAAATCTTAATCCACACCAGCAGCATTTTCAAATATTTCTCACGACTCAAAAACACTCACAAAATATAGAGCAAGCTGAGCAAGCAGAGATTGTCTAAGCGATGGTGGCACAGTAGGCTTTAACTTGCAGGCTGTCAGACCTTTGAATGTGATATTTCACACAGATTTAAAGTCCGACTTCTGCCAGAAAATAAAAGCTTAACCAGTAAAAGTGTCACGCCAAAGAGCACCTTGGAAACCAATATGAAAAAATAGGTATATTCCAAACATATTTATCAAATATCTTTTTGGAATGAATGAAAATGGCAAAAAATGTATTTGTTAAATATATGTTTTAAATGCATTTATGTGTATTTGTTATTATATGTTTTTCACAAAGGTCACAGATATAACTAAATGGTACTGACCTCTGTTTTGCACTGGACTTTGCAATAGCCATGTATGTGTGTGTTTAGACAGCACAAAAAATATTTCATATAAACAAGATATCAAATCATCAAATGGCATTTTCACAGTGTTTCAATACTTACAATACTTGCTTTTGCCATATTAAAGGTTCATTTGCTAATAATTAAAATGAAGACATTGTAATACAAATTCATTTCAAAACGTATTTCAAAGAGTAAAATGCAATAGACAAAGTATTTTGGTTTACATACATATTTTTGTATGGTAGATTTCTATGTTTCCCCATGCTTTTTGAAATAAATGTATTTTAATATATTTGTTTAATATGGCAATATATTCTGAAATACATTTTAGCAAATGGATTGTATTTCAGCATGGAGTGCAATGTATTTGAAATGTATTTCAAATATGTAAAAATGCACGTCTACATATTTTTTCCATATGAAAACTGAAGGGATCATGTTGTTTCAGGTGATTCAGGCCAACTAGAGGTTGTTATGGATGTTGAAAATATGTCACAGATGATGTTGAACTTATTACGGCTGATTAGAAATGACTGACCTGAATTTCAACCCCGTATCCAAGGTAGACTGTAACCAGATAAGTGCAATCCACGGTGGAGGAATCATCAGCCCTGGGTGGCATCTCAATGTCGCCCTCAGCATCCGTGAAGTTCATGCTGCACTGACCTAGAAAAGAAGAAAAGAAAGTTGGAAGAGAGGTTCAAAGCAGGACCATCCCAAGCACTCGTCCCTGTCTCGACACTTTATTTTTATTTCGCCCCGTCTGGAGCTCCTCGTTAGCCCTGAAGGCTACTCCATTTTCACAAAGCACCTCAATGTAGTGAAAGGTCAGGCGAAGCAATCAGCCAAAAGTCGCTTCGCCACAGGACCCCTTACTAGATGACTTGGAAACACATTACAGACAACATTCCACTTATAGTGGCTGGTTAAATGTCAATTTTTATACTGACACCAAAGTTACTAGAAGACTTGAAAGCTGCAACGTTTAAAGATAATCGTGCAAAAGAATGCATTGGTGCCTTCCAGCAATGGGGTACCTGTTGTATCAACAGAGGTGCTCTTTATTCATTTTTAGGGGAGCCACATTCTACATTTTTCTTATTATGATTTTTCTTGTATTCAGTCTATGACGTGTGTGGGTTAATGCAGCGAAATGGCCATAAATCATTTTTGTAGGACTGTTCTCTGACCTCTGTTTGTCCCTTAGAGTTAAGCAGGCTGGTTTTACTGTGCACTTAAGGTTGTTATGTGTAAATGCACTCTGTTCTGAATCTCTGCCTTGCATTTGGCCTCATTCAGAAAGCACTATGGTCCGAAACACTCCTTCTAAGCATCAACACAAATAGGCATGGCTAAACTAATGTAGGCTGAATAGCCAGATACAGTGGCCCCAAGTATCTGAACACTGAAATAACCCATTAGGATTTTTTTTTATTTTATATTACGGCTTTAGTCGCACAGAAAATAATTTCGTAAATGTGAACAGGATATTTTGCAATTATAATACATCTTGTTTCCAGGGCCCTAAAGAACAAAGTCCAAGCCGGAAATATTGGTGCCCTAATAGAGTCAAATCTTACCTTCACTAGCCATATCAAAGCAATCACCAATACAGCATTCTACCATTTAAAAAATACAGTCAGCATCAAAGGTTGGTCCCAGCATGGCCTGGAAAGACTCATTCACTCTTTTTATCTCCAGAAGGGTGGATTACTGTAATGTTCTCTTAACTGGACTTTGCAAAAAGACTATTACACAGCTACAGCTCATTCAGAGTGCAGCGTGCCAAGAGGGCCAAGAGTGCACATTACTCCAGTCCTAAAACCTTTGTACTGGCTTCTGCTTAGTTACAGAATAGGTTGTAAAGTGCTGCTAGTTTATAAGTGACTGGATGGTATACTTCCCTGATGTGTTTAAAGAATATAAACTGAGTAGGTCTCTTAGATCCATGGATACAGCAGTGGTGTAGGCAGTAATAGATTTTTTTCATAGGCCTGTAAAAAGAGGGGTAGGCCAGGTTGGTAGTTATGTACAAATTCCAGCTAATGTCCCACAACGTAATGACGAGCTAATGTTCTGCAGTGCTATTATATGAGACTATTCCTGAGAGCCATGCTGTCATCACCCTACTTATTCCAGTGCTTCCTCTCTGTGGTAACATTACCACATTCTGGCAATCAACCAGAATACTGGAATCACATAAACACACCAAACACTGCAGCACCCTTTACTATAAGGACTATAAAGCATGCGTCTGCTTCCCACAGGTACATTTACTCAAAGAAAACAACGTAACTAAGTTCAGATTGAAATTAACAGCTGAAATTAACAAAGATGAGGAAAACCAGTGCGGCAAACTTAAAAATCTAAACCTAATTATCGAAGCCATGGCATATTGCCATGGTGGGCATAAAAAATCTTTGTGGTCCATTCATGTCTTACCTTTGATTCATTGAAGTAATGTTAGATGTTTGCTTTGACATTTTCACAAAGCCCATTTCAGCTTTTGCAGTCTTTGTAGTAAAACTGACCATGACAGAAAACTGGCCACAACAACATGCTTTTTAAGCTGCAGATAGGTAGACATTGACATACTTTACAGAGCAGAATCTCACTTTTAAACATCCTCAGTAAATCTGTTAACAGTAACTAGAGCTTCAAATTCAAACAGTGCCATGCTGATAATGAACTGTAGGCTTGGAGCAATGGCAGATAGCAAGGATTGCTGTGCAGTGATTGGATGATTGAGACAAAAAGGCAGAACTTTGTGGAAAGAGTCATAATTTGATTGGCTATAATACAGTGACAGCACCCTGAGAAAACAAATTGCATCATATTAGAGTCCAAAGTCCACATTAAATATGGTGAAACAGCACTGTTGTGCAGCTATTATGCTACATACGCTGAGCTCTGGTTACTAAGTATCAGCCCACTTTAGCTAATCATTTTAGCCCAATAAATAACAGAAAATGGTTATATTAGATAACTGCTCTAAAATAAGTGGAAATGAACAGAACACAATTCAGCAAACAAGATGGGCTGCGAAATGCTTTACAGACTGGCTGGAACAAAAGGACATTCGGGTTAATATGGCAAGCATTGAAAAGGCTGAGCTGAGCCTGATATTGGGACAGTTTAATGGCTCCATCTATGAGCAAAAGAATACTACTTTTTATTAAAGCGCAAAATTATTTGGAGCTTCTTTGCTTTACTTTTTTATTTATTCAGCAACGTCGTGTGTTATCACAAATAATATTATGGTTGTGGTGATCTGTGGTGATTCAGCTCATGCCTGCGCCCAAATTACAGCCATGGCATTATTCATAATAAAATAAAAAGATATAATAATAAAAGACTGTGGGACCTTTTAGAATATCTTCTCATCAGGGTGTCACTAATACAATAGCCTTAAACAGTTTTTAATTGCACAGCATATTTTAGTCTTTGCATAGAGAACATAATTATACTGTCTGTCCAGGCCTATGCCCTGTTGAAGAATAATAAAGAAATGAAGCCCACACCAGGCCAGTCATGCTGACACTGTACGTACCTTCAGCTCTCATAGTGCTGATGATAGTTGTGGTGTGGATGGTGCTTGTCATTGTTTCTTCATCCACATCAGTATGATTACCCTCAAGGCTCTTCCCTGCTGGCCTCAGAGGTTCTTTCTTTGTGAAAGCTGTTGCTGATGACGAAGCATTATCCTTGGAAGCTGCTTTCCTCTCTGAAAGATGTGCCTTTGTTGAAGCTAGAGACGTCTGTTGCCGAATGTTTGGCCGGGTGGTGGCTGGCAAGACTGGAGTTGTTAGAGCTTGAGAAGTGACCTCCAACTTCTCTGCTGTCCTTTCTCTGCCCTTGCTGGGCCTCTTTTGAGGCATGGAGACCAGCTTTCCAGGTAGAGTGGGACTGACCGTGGTCATGGCCGTAGTGGCGATGTCAGAGAAGGCCGGAGCATCTTCATGAGGAACTACATGCGTTGCTGAATCTCCAGGTTTCTAGGTAAGTTGACGGCCCTGAGGCAGTGGGTTGAGCCTCCAATCCACCATCTTCTTTGAAGAACTGCTGGTCTCCTTGGAAGTCCTTAGTGAGCAGAGCTTCGTGGAGCAGTAGACCTCTCAGGTTGGGCCGGTGGTCAGGAAAGCTTGGTGTGAAGGATGTGGTGATCTCATGGACTTCAAAGTTTGGTTTTGAAGTGAAAGGATTGAGTTCTTGTTCTGATTCCGATTCTCCTCCTCTATTGCTCAGGCCAGTGCCATCACCTGAAAGCAACGGAGAAACAGGTAGATCAGCAATTGTATTCATTAGATGGCTCAAACTGAGTAGGCAGTACTAACTACACTGTGAGGCACAAATGAGAAGTATTATGTGTCAATAAGCCTTTGTAGATTTTCTCTTTAGGGACCTCCCTCTGATTTTTAAGAAAATAATACAGAGTGATGTGATATGAAATTCTCCATTTTAGAGAAACTGAGTCAGAGCTGTTCACAGTGGTGGTGATAGGAACCAAATATCTGAAAAGTTTAATGTCTAAAAGCTCCCTCTCAGAGGTCATTACATGAACTAGTGATAAATATGCTGCCTGATGCCTGAGACATTGTTTTATGATAGTTTTAAGCTAAAGTTTAGGCCTAAATCCAATATTTAAATGGCTGAGAGGTACATGCCGAGCATTGTATTGCCCACATATTAGACTACAGTGTATACAGTTCATTGGCCATTTTTTTTTCCTTTTTGTTTGTTTGCTTTGTCATCGCTTGGTAGCCAATTAGAGGATTAAGTACACCATTCAGAAGATCCAATCAAGGCAGGGATTCAGCCCCCCGACACTGCGTTTCAAAATTCTTTTCAAATTAGTGTGTACCTTTGAAAGACATTCGACTTCAGATAAAAGAATGAGTGCTGAAAAACTAGAAATCCTTTTTAAAATAAAGCCAGAGTTACTTGACTAATGTCAGGAGTAAACAGCTACATAGCAACGAGCATATCAACAATAAGACCATAAACTAAAAATGGCTCTTAACAGTGCTGAGGAAATGGTCACAGAACTGTATATACACTGATGACCATTTCAATAAGTACGCCTCCTCGTTTCTACACTCATTGTCCATTTTATCAGTCCTACTTAATATATAGGAGCACTTTGTAGTTCTACAATTACAGACTATAGTCCATCTGTTTCCATGCATATAATGTTAACCCCCTTTCACCCTGTTCTTCATTGGTCAGGACCCCCACAGGACCACCACAGAGCAGCACTGCAGTGTCACTGACATGATGCTGGCGTGTTAGTGTGTGTTGCGCTGGTATGAGTAGATGAGGCACAGCAATTCTTTAACATTTGATATTTTCTAACTGGTGTTATTGCAAAGCAGAGTTTGTGCTGATTCAGATGATATAAAACTCTTGCAGAAATTGTACTGTATCACTACTTTATGGTTAAAAATAACAAGAGTTGTCCAGGTTTAGACCTTATGGGGTTTATTACATAGTTAGTCACATTATGTGAATTATGTGTATTACAGTTTCATCCAGTTTACAGTCTGTATGCGCCAAAAATTCAAAGACACAGTTTTTTAAGAGGGGGTTCAACTTCCCAGCACATCATAGTGCACCACTCAGCATGTTGCCATTACTACATTAAAGCCATATCGAGAACACAGAAAGCCACAGTGGATCATATGGGCCTTTAAATTTACACAGAAAAGACAGCCAGTCTTGTAGATAAAGAGAGGAATGCTAATGGTCTGTTGCTTAAGCTAATGTTACTAGCCTAGCCTTTTTAGCTCCTATTTTTCAGCTTGTAAATATCAAGTTTGTGAAGAGGTAGTAAACAGAAGCCAAGCGTGATGTTGAAAGTGTTATTTAAGTAGAGTGTAAAGATGAAGTTGATGTTCATCGGCTCTTCCTGCTGGGATTCTACAGCAATGTCGTGCTACGTTACGCCACACGATGCTATTCTGCACTGCACAGCATGTCGAGTGTGTGGTGGCCTTAAATGCTTTATCAATTAAAAGTTTGGAAACGAAAAATCTACTCAATACAATTTTCATCTCAATTACCAACAAGCTACTTTCATTATCAGATAACTGTGACCTCTTAATCAAAGGCCACTGGCTGCAGTTCAGACACCATGTTTTGGAACATCAATCAAACGCCTCTCCAGCAAATGATACACAACCAGTTTGGCAAAAGACAGTCAGTGAAATCCTGGGATGCAATTCAAATGTGCAGCCTTTGAGACATAACATGATTGGATATGATTTAAAAGGAGGGCTAATAGCCATGGCTAATAAGCAGAAAAGCGCGGCTAAGGCAGCGGTAAATGCAGACGAGTTGCCGTGAGGAGTCACGTCGAAAAAAGGTTTTGACGCGTGGAGCAGCGAGGAGAACCTTTAGGGAGCGATTGCTCATTTTGAAAATCCTGCCCTCCTCCCACGTTCCATTAGAGAAAGCAAAGAATTTACTGTGAATGAGTCATGATTAGAGAATACAATAAGTGCACGTTGGAAAGCAATTACGGTTCCCCACCTGCAGCGGGTGGGATGCAATCAGGAAGCCCTCAGGATGAGGATGCTTACAACAGAAAGGATGCTCTTAAGGAGAAGCGCTCACCAACCTTGTAAAAACATTTGTTTCTCTCCCTCCTCATTCTCTCGCTCCTTTAAATATGACACCAAGAGCTTTCAAAAAGAGAGACACTGTACGGCCTGCTCTGGTTTTAGTCTCTGCCCTGTATCTGAGTCTGTGTGGGGACTTTTTGTGTGCATGACTGAAGGAGTTTAACCCTTTTCACATTAGCCATAAAACAAAAGTTTACGCCTGTTGTTGAGGTCCCTCAGTTGAACTATGTATTTATTTCTTCTACTACATTGATTAAATAACTAAATGTCTTCATAGGTTATCAAGCAAGTGTTTATTTAATCTAAATGATATTTTTATATGTGGCAGTTTTAATATAAGAAGACTGCAGCTGTGGTCTGTTTTATCTCTACACGGCTGTCTTTGTGGAGAGGTGTGAACTAGTTTCAAAGCAAGGAGTTCTGACCACGCCCCTTTCACCCCTCATTGCTCACTAGCCGCCCAACACAACAGACACAATCAACAGGCCTGTTATAGTTCTACTCTAAATAAGTTGTACTTATTTGACTGTAATTTCCATTATGCCAGATGGCTTCTAGGGGGCCTACAAAAAAGGTTAAAGGGGAATTCTACATTATGAAGTGGATGTAAACAGTCATTCAGACTGGTTTGGTGTGAATTGCTCTGTTATAGAAAACTTGCCCAGTCAGAATTGTTCACAGTGGTGGTGACAGGAACCAGATGTCTGAGGAGATGTGTAATGCCTCTAAAAGCTCCCTCACAGAAAGTTATTACATGAAATGGTTAGATACATGTTGCTTGATGTCTGACACATTGTGTTATGAGAGTTTTGTGATAAACATTTGGCTTAAAATGTATTTTAATCTAATTATTTTAATCTATTCATGGGAAGGGGTACATTTAGGGCGATGTAAGGCAAAATAGTCCCCAAAGAAAACTTATTTTGTCAGATTTATGACTGTTTTACCATCATCTGCGTTACACATAAAAACTCAGAAGACACGTGTGGGTTCACTGGTGATTTTGGATGGTAAATAAAATGGCTATATTTGTGTTGTAGCTATGGCAACCCCTGGCTCCTATCACCACCATTGTGAAGAATTTAGAGTCAGTAAGTTTCTCTACAATGAACAACTTCACATCAAACCACTCTGAATGTTTATGTCTCAAGGACTGAACAATTCAGGAATTTAGAAAAATTGGTGGAATTCCCCTTTAAAATGTGATTGGACAAAAAACCGATATGACCAAGAAATACTACATTAATTCATAAATCAGCACAAATGTGGCCGATTATTTTTGTTATTACAAACATTCCAAACTTCAAAATGTCCATATTCTACATTTTTGGGTTTATTTTATATTTACGTGTATAATATAGACCATCAGCCATGACTGTCAAAACTGTTATTGGTCATTTCTGCTAGTGCCCTTGTGATTTCTAGTAGTATGTTAGCACAAAGCTAACATTGATGCACATCAACAATTTTTGGCCGTTCTAAACTCCACACTGACATTTAAAGTATGACAAAACACATTACATATTTTATTTGCTGTTTACAGCAGAGAAGATACTGTAGCATCCTAGGAGGCGTGGCTAGGAGGCGTGGCTATGCAGAGCAGGCACGCACGTAGGCTTTTGGGAAGCGCCGCATTTGCGGTAGGAGAGACGTTTATTGTAAATAAATTGCAGCGCTAAGCAGGGGCTCTATACGAAGCCCTGCTGGTCACATCCCGTATAAATAAAAATAATGCATGGCCATGCCGTATTACCATGTGGGAACGAGAAACTAATGCGTCACCATGATTTAGTAAGGCGTAGGAATAAGATCGTGCCTTATTATTAAGCTGTGGTCAAGGCCTAATTATCTCATTCCCATGCCTGACTAAGTTGTAGCCACACATTTTGGTTTATTTATAAATATAAACCAGCAGGGCTCCGTAGGTTCTCCCTTGCATCCTGTTCAATAAAAGAGCATTCGCCTTTAAAGCTCAATGTTTCCTGTGTTTTATGGTTTGTAGCAGTGTTTTCTTTCAGTAAAGAGTTTTGCCGTAGAGCTTCTGCTGCTACTTTCTATTAATATCAACTAACTGAAACCTGGTTAGACTATGGGTTGTATTTACAGTCAGGGATGCATCTCAGAACTTCCAGAAGGCCTAGAGTGTCATTTTTCTCACAAAATTGATCCCACCCATCACAAATCCAAGCTTAATTGGTTGATCAGTTGGTTGGGTAATGCAACATGTTAAGCCTTCAGTTCAGCTCCTGATGTCCTAACCAATGGGAGAGCTCACTTGGCTGTATCTATCCAGATAACACAGAAGAAAATCCTGATTGGATAATTTTCTGTGAACAATAATTTTTCAACTATAACAAACTTTTTAATTGCAAGAAACTTTTTTCTTTAAAAAAAGCCAAGAGAAATTCTAACACATGGGCCCTTTAAAAGACCCTCATGGAAAACCCAATTTCATTTCACTTGAAATGGAAGAGTTTGAGGTAGTGTTTAAATATTCATTCACTACCCAGTCCATACAGTCCAGCTGGAAAAAACTGCCCATTTTTAATTCACTGTTTTTGTGATGTCACAAAAACTGACTTATTTACATATATCCATCTGTTCAGCCTACAGCAGTTTAGTGCTGCCCATTTACACTA